ACTTGTACGAGAACGTTCTATAAATAAAAATGGACATGTTTAGGAGTGCATTCCTGCCTTCTTCGCGAATCGACAATTACAACAATCCCCACAGCACCACCACGGCCGCAACTCCCCCTTTCAATACGACTGTGCATACAACTACGGCTCCCATGACCACTATTACTACTACTGCAACTACTACTGCTACTACTAGTAGTAGTACTAGTACGAACCACAGACTAGACACCGTCCCACTGACGACACCCGACCAAAGAAACGTAGCATCTAACGCGACCATAGTCTACGACATGATGCTGGCATATTTCTGGAAAAACACCGACAAGAACAAGCGATCCGACATTTACGACAGTCTCACTCTCCGGAACGCGGTGACTTCCGCGAGCGACCATCGAGCCGGTAGCGAACGTCTCTTTAGAAAACACGTTTACGAGGTTTTGGGCAGATCCTTTCCCTGGATCCTAAGCGTCGATAACGTCCGCGTCTGCGTCTCGGACCAGAGATCCGTACTGCCCATCGAGATCCTCATTCCACGCAGGGCGGCCTACACCAACGAGAGCGCAGACTTGGCTTTTGTCGGGCGCGTCCTATACGACCAGTACAAATCGGTGATTGATCCGTACGATCACGTCACGTATTTGGTTAGGAATCACCCCAAGCTCGTGGAACGCTACCCCATGTTCTGGTCCTACGTGTTTCTCAAAAACGTTCCGGCGTACAACGATTACGTGGAAGGCGACTGGAGCGACGAGAAGACAATCTTTTCGAGTCAGACCTATCAGGCGGGCTGGTTGAATGCAGACGCAATAACAATGCTGGCAAGCACAGTCACGAATCTGCCCTTTGGCGGAACGGGTGGCGTCGGCGAAGAGCCCGTAGCCCTGGGCGTGCGCGCCATGTACAACCTGGAGTTATTTAGTTCTGCCTACAACGGAGACTACCTGTTTACGGCCGCCGCCATCCGCAACGCGTACAAGTTTGCCTACGACTCGTGCCTCTACGTTCCGCGCGGCGTGGCCACGGCCGAGCTCCGTTCGCTAAAGAAGAGGGAGGTCCTTCTGGGCGTGCGGCAACCCACCATCTCCGACGTGGTCAACGACATCAACAACGTCAAGACGTCGTCCGTCATGGTCTACCTGGACGGAACCGTGAGAAAGAAGCGCGGCGGCGGCATCGCGAGTGGCGGCGTGGGTTGCCTCAAGGCTTCCGGCCTGCAAGAGGACGTGGTGGAGAAAATTGTCGAGAGCGTCGAGTCGACCGTCAAGACCATACTACCCCGACTGTGCGAGACGATAGGAATTCCGAGCGTGATTGCCAACGCCATGACGGCAACGAAAAAGATTCGGCTACTAGACGTGCTGCGCACCGTGGACAACGTCCTCTTCCAACACAGCGACTGGGAAGAGAGAATAAACAGGGGTCTTGCCGCGATTCCGTCTCTGATCAACAACATAACCAACGAGCCGATCGTCAGCTTTGTGCCGAGCAAAACGGCATACACGCACGTACCCACAGGCAGCACCCTCGAGCTACCCGGCTTTGACAACTCGATTGTGCTCTCCACTCATCTCGATCCCGAAACAAACAAGCGCTTCTGTCCCCTCAAGTTCATTTTACAAGAGCCCTTCCTCTATCTAAACAAGGGGAGCGGGCGTTACTTTACCCACTCGAGTGGAGGTCACCCGATGCCCTTCACCCAGGTAGAGGGATTACGCATACTGTATCACTTTCTCGTCCAATTAAAAAAAACACAACCTCCATTATTTGGCGTGACCTTGTGTGATGAGAGTACTTAAGCGTCGCCCTTCTACACACACAATAAACGTATTGACACCATGGGTATCCGAAATCTTTGGAATACACTCAACGCAGTTTGCAACCGCGCCGTCGAGGAGGAACTGGCACCGTTACTCGAGTCTCAGTTACAGCTCTTGGACGACCCCGGCAGTAACGTCGAGACGGCCACGAACCTCGTTTTGCGGACGTATTTTTCGCCTACGCCGTCTGCGCGTCACTTCGACTATGAGAGCGTGACGTCCTCGTTCGTGATCGGAGAGTCGGCGCGCATTCAAGTCGTCGTCGACGGTAACATTTTTCTACACCACTGCAACCACTCGCTGACGGACCACCATCTCAAGACGTTTGCGGACAAGATCGATGCCGCACGAGCGATCGCCGACCGAGAGGAACGAGAGCGAGTGTGGGAAGCCTTGAACCTCGAGATTATCAAACACTACGTTCGCGAGACCAACGGAGATCTGGTTGGCGATTACGTCGAAGACTATAGCGAAGACGACGCGTTTGTTCTTCGAGATTTGGACTGGGACAAGGAGTACGAGGCGAGACCGGGCGAACGCTGCATCCGATACGACGCCTTCTTCACGACGGTGTTTCATTGCATATCTAGGACGGTCAAGAGGGTCGTCAAGGGGCTGTCCCTAAACGGGCGTGTGGAAGTTGACGTGGTGGTGGTGTTTGACGGAATGTCGCCGACGGTAAAGTGACCCGAGCAGTACAAGCGTCGCAGTAGAGAGCTGACCAACGTCATCAAAAACTCGTCTGGCGAGGACACCAAGCGAGTTCGGACCATCGAAAATTCGAGACTGCAGTCTGTCCTGAACGGAAGGCTCAAAAACTTGGCACGGCACGGCAGAGACGCCATGGCCACAATCTGCCGATTGACCGCGGCCTCGGACGTGATGCAGCACGTCAGGGAATATGCCACGCTTCTCGAGAACTCACTCTACGCCAAAGAGGTGATTGACGGCTACTCGAACGAGTCGACTGCAGCGTACCAACTCTCGTCCTTTACGATCCTGCCGCCGTTCTACGTGGGGGAAGGCGACGTCAAGGTCGTGGACTCTTTAATGTGTCCGCCGCCAAACGACGAGCGCTGGGACGTGTCCGTCGTTGTCACCGACGATTCGGACATTCTCCTCGGGGTAGCTGCGGTCGTGGAAAAGATACCCTCGCGAGACGTCTACGTGTATTCGGCCCGCCAGTACAGCGAGAGTAAGAAGCGACAGGACGAACACAGGTTCGAGTTTGGCGGCGTGCAACACGCCGTGTCTCTGCTGGAAAGGTCTCTTTCCAGTCGTCAGGCGGGTTACTACCACATCAAGGACGATCTCTTTACTCGCGCTGTACGCGTCAGTAGTTCCGATCTTCACCCGCTGTCGTTTGTGGTGCCAATCTTGCTGTACGGCGGCTACGAGATGCTCCCGTTTATGATAAGCTCATCTAAAAAGGTGGACGGCAAGAAGGTGGACCTGTTTCGCGCAATGATGAACGCCGCAACGAAGGAGACTAGCTTCTTTGACATTTTACTGGCGGCGGTCGATGCCGCGGCACCTATGGAAGGGTCCACTACGCGGAGGCGAGCGGCCGCAATGTCCAAGGACTGGCCTAAGGCGAACGAGCGTCGGCAGAAAGTAGAGGAGATTGTCACGAAATACCTGAAGCTGCTTCAGTACACCACGCTCTACACCACGCAGCAGGACCGGCTAGCGTGGTACGTAAAGCCCGTAGAGTTTGTGTACGAAGACCGCGTGGTAGAGAGGGACGCGACAACAAACGCTTTCGTCACGCGACCGATCACGACCATGGGGCAGAACAAGGCGTGCCGCGTGAGTCTCGCCGACGTTGCGAGCGTCATAAGGGCCCTAAAGGCCAGCGACGCGTTGGAATCTGCGGTGGACATACGAGCTTACGTTCTCGAATCTAGCGGCGAACACCTTGCGGTTTCCAGCGCCATCAAGGCGCTTTCGGCGCTCTACATGATGGGTGCTATGGAGTTTGATGACGACTACGACAATTGGTCGGACGTGGAAGCCCTTGCTGCCGTCTACAAGTGGTACGAGACCCGCTGTCTGTGTCCCTGCATCAAGACGATGGATCTACGACGCGTCTTCTGCATCTTTAGACAGAGCAGCGACTGGTCTCGCACGTTCACCACTAGCCTCATCAGACGGGCCTATAAGAAGAACAAGCGGCGACTGAGCAACCTCCGATTTCCTAGTTTCGACGCCATTTACAACGACATGTTGTGAATAAAAGAACGTTTGTTTGGACACACACACACACAGACGCACACACATAGAGACACAGATGTATAGCAGCGTGCAAGCTAGCGTAAGCGTTTATTTTAGGCAAAGCAGACAAACACAAGCGAAAGCGAGTCACTTCTTGTAATACGACACTTTGTAAATGCCATAGTCGTTGGTGGACGTAATGTTTGACTTTGTAACATCTTTTAATATCTGCAATTTCTGTATAGTGATGTAGTAGAAACAGTCGACGAGCCTCGAGACGACCAGATTGTGTAGACACATCCAATGCTTCTCGCAATAAAGGCGATCTGACACATACTGTCCGTCTTCCTTGGGTTTGATTTTGGCCACGAGCGCCGGTAGAGAGGTGGTCACCTCGTAGGTGCCGTGGTACGTGACTGGAATCACGTCGAAGAAGGATTCTTGTTCTTCCAGGGGATCGAAAGTGTAATCGAGTGGCAAAGTGGTCGTCTTGTCGTTTACATAGCTTTGCAGAACGTGGTGGAGAAAGGGTAGAATTGCATGCACGTTGTGATGCGCCGACGAGTGACGGACGTAGAGGTAGACGTAGTGCTTGGTGCATATCACGTCGTGCACCTTGAGATCGCGCAGCACGTTGATGAAGTTTATGCAGTCCACCACCACTCGGTTGGCGTCCTTGTCCCTGTATGAAAAGACGAGTAGATAGTGGTACGACGAGCTGTCTTTCTGACAACACTCTGCTCCCTCTACGACCGATGGGACGTTGTTTTGAATAAAGAAATTTGCGATAGCAATCCAGATTTTATAGGGTATCGATACCGAAAGGTCCAGTTCGCAATGGAGATAGTCTCGCAGGGTCCTCATTTTTTGTTGCGAAAAGATATCGACGAACGTGACCTGTTTCAACATTTTACTCCCTCGATCGTTCAAATCAGTCACCGAACCTTTTTGTTAATGTATATGGGGGCGTTGGCGGTTTTTTATTTCAAATGCATATGGGCACGTTGCTGTCGTCGTCCTTGCTGCGAGGCGTGGACGTGGATGGATTGGAGAGTAGCGGCGCCATCATCGTGGAGACGTCTTCCATGGTTTTACGGAGCTTGTCTCGCATCGAGTTGGACAACAGGTCGTCGCTGTCGCATATCAGTCTGTTGAGAAACTTTGTTTCGACCGGAACGATGACTTCCACGTCGTCGGCCACGGACCACCTACAACGGGCTAGGAAGAGGCGCAAGGCCGTCGCCGAAACAAACTGCCCCCTAAACAGGTTGTAGCAATTAGACACGGAGGCAAAAGCCTTGAGTAGTTCCTTCTCGAGAAATTTCTTGTTGATGACGCTAATCTCGGTCTCGTCCTCGATAAAGAGCTTGATGAACATGTTCAAAAAGTCGGCTAGTACGCGTTGGTCCACCTCGCACGTGGATATGGCCGCCATGGCGCACTTCGCTCCGTTGGCGTCGCGCGTAGTGTGCATGGCAGTAGACATGGACGTGCACCACGAGATGATGGACGACGACACGCTAGGCGAGATGTGGTGTTCCAGATAGTTGGGCGACTGGACCCAGAGTAGAAAGTCGTTAAAGAAGCGCGAGTCGTACAGGTAGGTGTTTTCGCCGCGGTAGCTCCTGCAGAAACGCGTGTGATAAAACAGGTTGGTGGCCATCCGAAATAGCGCCGTGTTTGAGTAGGTGGCAATTTCTTCCTGGCGCGGAGTGGGTATGCCCTTGGTCATCTTGAGGCACTGTAAGGTGGCCCCAAACATGTCCGAGTCCATCATCTCAAAGTTTAGGCACTGTAGAAACAGACCGAGGTTACGGGGCGAGACGCAACAGGCCTGGCTGTAAAATTTGTTGAGCTCCTGCGTGCCCTGGTCCGACTGTTTGTGCACTTCGACCAAGCGAGAGTCCACGCGCCCGTTGCTCATGCACTGTTCTATGATGGAGGCGATGTTAAGGACCGACACCTCGGTGGCCGGCGCCTTCTCCTTCTGCAGGGCTAGCACGTAGTGGTTGGTCCGCGGCACGGGGATCGTGTCGGAACTCTTCATGATGAGCTCGTTGTGGTCACGCAGCGTCGTAGAGATGGCCGGATCGATGATGTTGACGTCGTCCGTGACCCGCTCGGCCGGCATGACGGTCCGGAGCGTCATGTTGTCGGTGTCACAGCGGTACACTCCGTTCTCGACGTTACTCGTGTACAACCTGTTGCTCTCTTCGACCAGGAGGTTGATGACGTCCTGTGGCTTGTTGTTTTGCGAAAACTTTACGCGAATGGCCCCGACAATGTTTTCGTTGACGGTGTGTGGCTGCGTGATCCTGTGCACGAGGCTGAGACCGTTGGCCACGTCGAGCCAGTTGTGGCCCATGGCGCTCTCAAACTGAAAGATGGGGTTGCACTTTACGCGCACCGCCGCGTAGTTCCACAGGGATACTAGCATGACCGCCGTAATCTTGGCTGCCGTCCTTGCGCCCACCGCCATACCGCGAGTCGCCTCGCGCGCATGGGAAAAGATCTCTTCGATGTAGAGGAGTAGCAGGCGCAGAATGGCAGTAGCGTACGCGTCCACGTACGGCTTCAGATCCCTGATGACGCGCTGAGTGGTCGACGAGGAAGAGGTTTTCCTAAGTATGTTGAGACTGTTTCGTACGTATTCGATTCCCATTACGCAGTGAAATACTGTATTGTCATTCAGGAGCGTTTGGATGGCCATCTGATCCATGTCGACCGTCATCAGTATGTTACTACCGAGCTCGAAAACGCGAAAGAGCATATCTGCAACCGGTTCCACATCTCCGTTGGTCAGGAGCGTCGTGCGCGCCTTGGTAATGTGCTGCATGAGTTTCTTGGACGAGTAGCCGAGTAAGGTCGACGTGTCGTTCAGGAGCGTGGGCACGTATTTATCGCCATCTCTCCTGTAAGACACGTTTTGATTTCCCCGCTGCCGGAATACGGGTAATAAAATATCGGTGGCGTCTTCGTGATTCACCGAGTGTTGACATCGTCCCTTTTTCAACAGGTCTAAAAAGTTTTCTGCGACAGACATTTTTATAATAAACAAAATTGCTACCGCCTATGGGAGGTCGACTCCGCTCCCAGTCGAGGTCAACCTAGATATGGAGAGAATATATATTGCGCACCGAGTAGAGGGCTCCTCTCATTATCGTCGCTATGGCGCACCTCGTTACGGATCCCATAAACAAGGAAGTCGTGCGTCGCTTCAAGACGTTCGCCGAATGGCGACTTCGCACCAGAGCCACGCCTCGAGACTTTGCCTATGCCGGCCTAGAATATTGCGCTGACCGGAAACACATCTACTGTCGGCACTGCAAATTTCAAGTCGCCGAACAGGACTGGGAGACGCTCACATTTCACCCGATGGACCTTCACCGCCGAATGCCGTGCAAGTTTCTCGAGCAGTGCAGGGACCCGCGGCTGAACGTAGCAAAGGTCGTGTCCGTCTTGCCGAGCTACTCTCACCCGGTCTACAAGAGATACGTCGACGAGAAGATTCGAGCCAAGACCTTTCACGATGTTCGAGGCCCTGCGTTCGCCAAGGCCGGCTTTTTCTGCTCGCACGACGACGAGCAGGGCTACCTCTCCCGCGAACAGATAGTGACCCGCATAATCGTTTGTTTCTACTGCGGGGTGCAAGTATTTTCGATCCTCGACTGCGAAGAAGACGATCCGTGGCTGCTACACGCCCGCAGGTCCCCCAATTGCGTGTTTCTACGAGTGAACAAGACCTATTACTACGTGCACGATGCAGTCGAAAAGTTTTACAGGAGCGAGATGTACTGGGCGTCTCACTTTCCCGAGATCGACGATCTCGTCAAGGACCCAAAGTTCCGCAACAGGACTATGAGTACTCTGTACACGGCCAACCTGAGGCATCCCTTGAACGTATCGGCGATGGTGAGTGCCATTCGGAGCAGCAAGGCGACTCCGTTGGGCAGTCACACTCTGTTTGAGCCAGTGAACGCCCTTCCTTCGTTCGATCACAAGGCTATCGGTAGGTGGGGTAACTTTGTGATAGATAGCGCGATCAGTGATACGCACTATTCCGCTATAAAGTCACGAGACGAATCAACTAAGAGGTGCATCGTATGCATGAAGGCTCCGGCTAACATTGCCTACTTGCCGTGCGGACACTGCGTGTCGTGTTTCGACTGCACCATATTATTCAAACATTGCAAGGCCTGTAGACTCAAAATCGACTTTATTTCTAGAGTCTACTTTGCTTAAGAACATGTCTTTCTACTGGAGACTGTTCGTTCGACCACGACCCGACTGTGGCCAAGGTGATGTCCGACTTTAAAACTTTTGCGACGTGGCCTTTGCGCAACAGTACCCCCCCACCCAAGGACTTTGCCATGGCAGGACTCGCCTACGATCCAGAGAAGCGGATTCTCAGCTGCTCGATGTGCCAGCAAAAGACTCAACTCTCTACTATCGTGGCCTCGGACGAAACACTTCCCCAAGGACTGCACGAATCCGACTGTGACGCACCGCTACGCACGCTGAGTCCAGACGTCTCGGCGGTGGTGACCGAACGAGCGCTTGCCTTTAGGCCCGAGTTTCAGACTTACACTGCGAGGTTCGCCTCCTTCGACGTTCGGCCGAAAGAAGAAGACGTCTTTGACGTGGATTACATGGCATCTGCGGGATTTTATTACCTGACCGATTGGACCGTGGAATGCTTTTGTTGCGGACTTCGGTTGCTTTCGTGGGAAGCCGACTACGACGACCCAGTCGAGGAACACGCCAAGTACAACCCTCGCTGCCCCCATCTTCGATTGTGCGCGAGCGTAACCTACATCAAGGAGGTGTCCGACGTGTATAGAAATAGCGATTTATTTTGGTTGCTAGAATATACCAAGGACATTGAGTTTGTCTCAAACAAATACAGCCTAGACTTTATAACAGCATTGGCCACTTCCAAGTTTGATCTTTCCTGTCCGAACAAGCTAAAGTCCTTTCTCGAAAACAGCGATTCTTTTTCGGCGCTGAGCGTAGGACGTCCGTATCCCACGCGCATCGACAAGACGAGCATCTCCATGAAGCGGTCCGATCCGTCCACGACGATTTGCGTCGTCTGCATGAACTGTCCGGTGTGTATAGTTACTTTGCCCTGTGCCCACGCCGCCTTATGTTTAAATTGTCTATTTCCAATGATTTACAATTCGAGAGAGCAATTTGTGTGTTGCCTTTGTAAATCTGCAGTGAGTGGAATGTATCGAATTCATTAAATAAACTATTTGTACTGGCACTAGTGTAGTGTGCATGCAAAAGAACGATTCGTGACTCAAAAATATAAGCACGCGAAATATTTATTTTCAAGCATAACTCAGTCGTCTTCTTCGCCCATTGAGTCTTCTCCTTCGTCGTAGTTGAAGGTGTTTAGGACGATCGGACCCAGCATTCTGTCGTCGTCCGATTCGAGATATTCGTCGGCGTCACTGTCGTAGTCGTCACTGTAGCCGTCGTCACCGTCACCGTCGTCACTGTCGAGGTCTTGGTACTCGATGTCACCCACAACACCGTCCACACCTTCGATAACGTCTAGGTCGGTTGGCGCAATGTTTCTTAGTGACGGAGACACTGTGCTAGAAATACACAAAGTGTATTCACCAAGGTAGACGTCCGTGTTGGGGACGTCTCTAGCGGTGAGTAGGATGGCCGTCAGTCTTCGATGCACGTTGAGAAATTGGTGAAGCGTTTCTCGGCGTATAAATCCGAGTCCGGTCATGCAGAGGCTCCGTATGCCAACGTCGATGATCCTCTTTTCTGCGAGATACATCAAGGCTTCGTCGTCTAGGTGATAGCACGATCCCATCTGCAAGTGAGTCAAATTAGGTAGACCGTCCGCTAAGCACTTTACAGAGTCGTTGGTCAAGCCGGGTGCGTGACGTAGGAGCAAAGTCTTGATGTTCGGGTAGAAACGAACCAAATCACTGACGTGGCGGTCTCGCAGCATTGGATAGTGCACCAACTCCAAGAATGTGATGTGCGTAGGAAAGCTTCTTAATATTGAAATTTCGGTATACGCACAGTGAATTTGCCCTTCCACGTTGTCCCAAGCGTAGCCCTCTTCTTCGTGGTATATACTAAGCACCACTGTTTTCCAATCCACCACGTTTGACACTCTGGACTGAGCGAACACTTGTACGCAGGTGTCGGCCAGCGGGAGGGATGGGGACCTGTCTAGTCGAGCCATTGTCGCTTTGGGTTATAGGGTAGTAGTCGTGTCGTGTCGTGACGTCGGGGGAGAGGGTAGGGTTAGCTTTGCTGTAAGCGTAGTACGTGCGAGTACATATATATATATATACCCTCACTCGCTATCTGAAAACGGAGATAACGTTTCGCTACAAAAAACAAAATCGTACATTTCCTGACTCAACTGATTCGAAGCGCAAAAGACAAAGTGCGTCACGTTATCTTTAGAGGCGAAGAGTTCCGTCGTTATCACCAAGATAGCGTATATAGATTCGTTGTTCTGCAATATCACTCGAAGGACAGCTCGACTGGCGTTTCTTATTCCAGTCAGACACAAACTCTTGAGTCGACGCAAAGGAGCCAGATGAATCAATCCCTCGTTCCTGATACGGCCACCGTTGTTGCTGATTTGAAGATGTTCGAGAGATTGAGCGTAGGTCGCCAAGTATTGTAGAGCAGAGTTTGACAATAGGGGGGCGTTCCTCAGGAGTATGGTCTTGAGGTGCGTATACGTACAAACAATGTACAACAATTGTGCGTCCTCCAAGGTCGGATAGTCGACAAGGTCCAAAACGGTCAGAGCGTTCGCGGACACATGAGAAAGTTTACAAATTTCGGAGAACAGGACGACCCTCTTTCGTTCAAACTCTTCCTCATTTGAGTCTTCCGAATAAACGTTGGCCACTACTCTGCTCCAGTCGAAGGTTCGCGATTGATCAAACTTGGTGGCCTCGCGAAACACCTTGGACACGCTGGATGCTACTCCGGTCATGTTCTACGTTTGTCGACGCGCTTCGGCAGGCGCGCGTATATATACGTACGTTTTGTGTATGTAGAAAAATAAAGCCTCTCGAATGATTGTTTGTTTATTTCAAAAAAGACACGTACTAGACGTTGCGCAAAGCTCGCATAATGTGATCGCTTTCGGTGTAGTATCTCTTGTACTTGTAGCGCCTGATCTCGTCACTGACGTCGTCGTCACCGTCGTCACCGTCTTCAGCGTCGTCGTCGCTATCCACGTTGCGCTCAGCGTAGTCGTCGTCCGAATTTCCGTGAAACTTGGGCTCATTATTATTATTATTATTTGTCTCGTACACCGTCCGTCTGGTACGCAGAGTCGATTTGTAGCGGCCTCCGCCGGTCGAATGGAAGAAGCTATCCGTGGACCGACCCAG